TTGAATCGGTTACGGTTACGGTTTCGGATTTTTTTTTCGGATATCCGAAAGTTACGGTTACGGATATCCATAACATCCCTGGTTACAACAAGGACATTGATGCCAAAGTATCAATTTCCTATTATCCTAGATCAAGTGTCAATTTTGACGTCGGCCGTGATCGAGTGCAGCCGCGCCGGCCTCAAGCACCAGGCGCACCAATGGGCCCGGATCCTTATGCAGCCGGAATACCGCTCGCAAGTATGTTGCTTAAAAACTAACAGTTTGTAAAATAAACTTTCTGGTTGTAAATGTTTACATAAGTTAACTAGGGTCGGACTTTCAATGAGGGTTTTCGCGTATGAAAAATCCGCCAGATGGCAATACGTAGACGCGAGGTCCAAATGCTGCATGATTGATTATTTTTGACATGAAATTGACAGATATGTAAAAATCCACCAATCACGCAGCAGTCAGACCCCACATCCACGTCCCGCCATCTAGCGGATCTTTCATACGCGAAAACCCTCATTTGACGGGGTTCTAGCCTGGCAAGTGTTTAGGTTGATCGCACGTTGTTGTGTTATTATTTTTTTCACGAGCAGGCATCTTCCATCTTGGTGCCCTTAGTACATGCCCCTCTGCGTATGCTCAATTGAGAAAGACGTTACATTGAACTAGTCTATAGATCATCGAAGTCACATACGAGTACCAATTCCAAATCCCCAGATCGACCCAAAATACAGCAAAAAGATAGAATCCGTGGTGCGTCACGCGCCGCGAGACAACCCGCCGGCCGAGCCGGCCGCGCCGTGTCCGCAGTGCGATGCGCCGCTACCAATCGCTGAGTTGAGGTGTACTCGCTGCGAAGCCGACCTGCCCTTCTGTCTAGCTTCTGTAAGTTTCTACACAGCCACAGATTATTCTAGAAGTCCACCACCATTGTGCGAAGCGCCGCTACCTATCGCTGAACTGAGGTGTACCCGTTGCGAAGCCGATCTGCCTATCTGTCTCGCTTCCGTAAGTTTACTATCCCTTTCTTTAAATCTACATACCCACAGATCTATCTAGACGCTCGCCAATCGAGGAGTTAGCCGTGCCCTGTCTGCAGTGCGACGCGCCTCTAGCCATAGCTGAACTGAGGTGTACCCGTTACGAAGCCGATCTGCCTTTCTGTCTCGCTTCTGTAAGTTTACTATCCCTTTCGTTAAGTCTATATACGAACAGATCTTTCTAGACGCCGTTAATCAAGGACTTAGCCGGCCCTGTCCGCAGTGCGACGCGCCGCTACCCATAGCTGAACTGAGGTGTACCCGATGCGAAGCCGATCTGCCTTTCTGTCTCGCTTCCGTAAGTTTACTATGCCTTTCTTTAAGTCGAGGAGTTAGCCGTGCCCTGTCTGCAGTGCGATGCACCTTTACCCATAGCTGAGTTGAGAAGCACCCGCTGCCAGACGACCTACCCTTTTGTCTCGCTTCGGTAAGTATCTGTAATAATCTGCAATACCTAGGGGATCATACTAGGCCTGCCTGTGAGTCAGTCCACGCTGTGATCAAAGTACCACGCGCTGTTCGTTATCGTTGAGTTGGTTGAGGTGTACCCATTGCGAAGCGAACCTGCTCTTCTGTCTGGCTTCTGTGAATATCTACATACCCAATCATTCTGAAAGTCACAATAAGCAGCCGCGCTGTGATCATAGTGCAACGCGCCTGTTGCGAAGAGAAAGTAAACTACTTTCTCTCTTTAAGTCTACATACTCATAGATTATTCTAGAAGCCACTCACCTTCCGCTCACACGTTGTTCCCGCAGTGTGAGTCGCCACTTGCTTCACTAGCTGACTTGACCAGAAGCCTGCCTCTGTTTTAATTGTGTATCCATAGATTCACCTAATAACAGAACGAAACACACTACCGATATCATAAATTAACCCACTCACAGCGAGACGCGCAACTTACTATTGCTAAGACTGTTACTTTTGTTTGATTCCTAATTTCCTACCCACATAACGCAGAAAATGTTTTGTTTTGGCCATAGGGCAGTGTTGCCAGTTCTAATAGTAATATTCGCTAGTTCAGTTACCAACTTTTAACTTACTTATTTAACTTATTTTCTGGCTAAGTATTAAATATTTTCTTAATTTTCAGGGGCTCCATATTGTGAAAGATGACTTAACAGCGTGCCCGGAGTGTGATTTTCCAGCGATTTATGCTGAATTCAAAGAGTAAGTTGGTAAAATGTTTTTAATTCTTGACAAATGGCAATTTTCAAATAGTTTTATTTTAATTACGATATATTTTTAGGATACTACATGAAGAAGGAAAGTGTCCCATGTGCGGCGAAAATGTTGACTACCGTCGACTTGTGAAGATCGACGACGTGGCACTGTACCTAGACCTTAACACCAACGAGTAAGGTTTACAATTCAACGATTATGTACCGATTGTGATCGATTCCGTCCTAGTGGATTAATATGTGTTATCGCCAGTAACACAAGGTTAGTACAACACGTGTTTTTTATTGACTGATAAATACTAACGATAAGTGTGACATTGTATTTTGAAAATACGCTTTATTTAAATCAAGGTTAGTTATCCTTAATAAATATAGTTAATGTTCGTAATAATTGAGTAAACGTACATTATTTTAATGAATTTAAGTACCTGTTCTTGTTAAGTATTTTGCAAGTGTTTTATTAGGAATTAATATGTTACTTACTTTGAAAGTCGCAATGAATGAATTTTAAATAAGCGCGGTGTAAAATTTTATTTACAAAATTCCTCATAAATAGCGTTGTAATGTCCTCTTTTGCTTTGGCTGTGTGTGTTTGCAAGTATTGCATGCATTGTGGAATAGATCTTTAGTTTGATTGACAATTATGAATTATGTGTTTTAATAACGAAGTAGGTAAATTAATCCGAGCCTTTAGCATGTAAGTAATTTTAATTTACTTTAAGAATTGTACTTGTGTACAAAATGGCATTTATTTTTATTTAGTAATAATATTGAAATTTAAATAAAAAGTTAAAATGTAAATGCATTTTATTAATTAATATTTATGTAGGAATATAAGAAAAACTAAAATTGTAGTGATGAAACATTTAATTTTTCATTTGAAAGTATACCAAGTTGTAGTTACACGTTCGATACTGAGATTCAAATGAAACGCAAAACACAATGGTATTTATTATACAAAATTTCGGTGTGAGTCGACTTTCCGCACGCTCTCGACACCTGGTCCTTCGAGCCGGATTAGTTGACCGGCCGGCAAGATCGAGTGTCGAGCGCGTGTGTCCCTCTGAGACTCCACTGTACCCACTGCCGTCTGTTACTCTACTAAGAATCAAATATTGCCCTAATATAATTACTACTACCTAGCTATGCCTTAAGTTGACATTACATTTATACAACTTAAAATAATGACAAGACGATTATAACAAAATAATACATTCAATAATAATAGAAATAATTTCATTGTGCTAATAATACAGTGAAGGCTAGGGTCGACACACTATTCGGTCGACTCGACTCATCTCTATAATTCGCTAGGATTTTAATATTAACATAGAAAGGAATTATATTAAAGTTCGGTGTTATCATTATAATATCCTCTTCTATTGCTATCGAGTCGAAAACGGTTCGCCCGCGGGCGGAAAATAAAGGAGGGCTGCGCGGATCTCGAATTCTATCTAATTAGGCTCTTACATGACCTTAGGCAGTGTTCGTTTCAAGGCGAGGTACCGAGTCGTCTCCCGGGCCGCTGTTGACGCTATTCGCGAGGTGCTACAGGGATCGAAAGTAAGCAACACAAAAGTGTGGGTAACTGAAGAAAAGGTCAAGTTTTACTTTCGTAGAAACAAGCGTGAATTCTTCATAAGAATATACATGAAAATCAAGAAAAAAGCAAAGTACTATTGTACTCAGATTCAAGTTAAACATAGTATTTTCAAGTTCTGAAAATGTATGAACTTCTTCCCTAGTACAAATCAAACGCGGCAAGTGTGCGGAACACCGTCAACAGGGGCCCGGTCGGCGTCAACCTTTCACGAATATCACCTGGAAAATCTATAAATTCGCAGCGTCTAACCTTTACTAATTTTAATATACAAAATTTGTAATGAGTCGTAAAAAAAGTGAATATTGGTGTTATCTCGTCGCCGCCTACAATATAGTCTCTAGCGCGCAGCGGGGGGCGGCCGGCGGCTGCTCTTTGGACGTGCGGGGCACCGCTCTCTCTGGTAAATATAATAAAATACTAATATCTCGTCGCCTCAATTCAATAAATATTCAATCGCTCGTTTAAATAAATAATATATCTCGTTAAAACTCCATTTCGGGCCGGATTAATCAGGTCGCGACCCGGCCGGCCGGCTCCCCCGCCGGGGCTCGTAATATTTACAGATACATACAAAAATATTTTATAAATCATAGACACGATGGCACTCGGTTGCAGGGTAGAAACGAACAGACGCCGGCCGGGGCCGGGGGTGAATACTACGAATCTTTGGCTTGATCGGCGCCGGCGGTCGGCGCGGCGCCGGCGGCGGGCGGGCGCCGCGCCAAGGCGCCGGTTCCGGGAATTTTCAGTCTAAATCACTGGGTTCACAAGAGCATGGCGCGAGTACCTATCTTATACGTTTTACTATTCCTTTTTAGGTCAGGAAGCTAAATAATTATTTTCGTCAAATCCTCGGTACTAGCGCCATCTATTGATATTAAGTTTATTCAAACATAAGCGGTCGTCAGCTGTCGCAAGAACAGATAGAAAGAAGTTTGCAACTCCGCCTACATGTGAATAAGGATGAAACGAAAGTCCGCTAAGTCAAAGTGTACTTCGCGACTACTAAAATACTATTCTCATTAAAGTAACTGTTCACGCGTTCGGATTCCAACCAAAGTGAACTCGGACCACGTTCCGGTCAAGTTTAACGTTGACGAAGTTTCAATTCGGAAGCTTCGGCGAAGCGGACCGTCAGTTTCACCGCGGTAGAGTCTGAAAATTCCCTTCTCGTGGGGCGGCGGGCTACTGCAGGCGCGCCAGCTGCTTGGGCAGCGCGGCCACCACGCGCACGCGGTCGCTGAACTGCGGCGGCGGCGCCAGCAGCGGCGCCGGCTGCGGCTCCGGCGGGCCCGGCTCCTCGGGCGGCGGCGGCAGCGCGGCCAGCAGCCCGGCGCCGCGCCGCCCGCGCCCCGGCGCCTTGTCCACGTCCACGCCCAGCCGCTCCGCCGCCGAGCGACCGCGACCGGCGCCGGCGCCTCTCACAAGCGCCGCCGCCGCGCGCTTCCGCGTCAGCGAGTTGTGCCGCTGCATCGGCGGCGGCGGCGGCGCCAGGCTCTCGCTGGACGAGTGCACGGGCTCGGTGCTGATGACGTCGTTGCACGACTTGACGGTGACGGAGGCGCAGAAGGAGACTTTGTCGCGGCGCGGCGCGGCGCCGGCGGGCCGCGCGTGCGCCTCCTGGTCGGACGACACGCCGGACGACGAGTTGTCGGCGTCGTCGCGCTCGGCGCCGAGCTCGTCGCCGCAGGAGCGCGACGACTTCAGCCGCGTGCGGATCTTCTGGATCTCGTCGACGGAGAACGAGTGCTGCATCGAGCTGGAGCCCGAACTGCTTCCGCTGTGGACCGAAAATACTTTCGTTTGACCCAATTTTTAAATACATCAGTTACGGTGCGGTTCGCTCATGATAAGTGCAATGTTTGTTGCAGGTATATCCCTTCGCCTCGTTCTTAATTATGTACTGGCTGAGCAGTTTAGAAACAAATCGTTATTCAGAAAAATGAGATAACCATGATACGACAAAAGTATTAATTTTGGTTAGGTTTAGGTTCCAATATACTAATTGAATCTTATTTGGTCGTAGCATAGTTAATAGTTCGATTAAATTGCCAATTACGCCAGATTTCAATGAGACGCGCTAAAGGCAAAGATATACCGCAGGAATGAACGTGTAGAGGTGTTTTGTGTCTTGTTTGCGCGTATAATTTGAGCGCATACCCTTTGGTTAGAAGGTGCAAATATTTTTGAATAATGACAAAACAAATGATAATTTCTTCAAAATCTTAAAATACACTATTTCAATTAGACAAAATGTTTTATAAAAGTTGTTATAAAAGAAACACAAAAAATATTGTAATTAGGACAAGGACAAAATAGCGTCGTAATGGAACAAAATGTGTGATGAATTACAGCAGTCTAGTGCCTTTTGCATGAGGACGATCACGGTTATTGACAGGAACGACAGATGAGTGACTCTCCTCGATGGTCGGACGCGGACACCCAGCCCCATAGACAAACATGAAAACGGTACAAGAATGGACGGTACCTCAGGCGTTGTGGGTTGTGTAATGGAAAACTAAACGTAATTAAATTCGCCATCATTTTCATAGATTGTAGCGTATTCATAGATGGTTGCGTACATTGGTATCCTGAAAAATCCAATTATTGATTTTACAAGTTGCCCCCGACTTTCTCCACTTCCCAAACTTCTCTCCACCGCCATGACACATAAAATACAGACTTCAAAGCAGGTCTACAAATAAGGAACGCTTCTTCAACATTTAAACATAAACTATGACGGTTGATCATCATCATTCACCGGTCCAGGTCATTTGAGTCAGTTTACCTCTTCTAAGGTCATGGTCGTCTTTGTGACTTTACAATTGACCTGTTTGGGTTGCGTAGCCACCACCGTGTATCAGTGCTTTTTGGCACGCAATAGGCATCAACATGAGTCCATTTTGATTAATTTTTAAATTGAAAAAAAAAGAAAAAAAAAGAAAATTAATCATGTATCAATGACTTGACTCGAAAAATAATTTGCCTAGTAATTTTTAATTTTTAGCCCTACGGGTCTAGTTAATGAATATCGTTCGCAACCGCGTTAAAACAATAGCATTAACAAACCTGGCGTTGCTGTTGGCGCTGGTTTCCGCGGGCGGCGGCGGTTCGCTTTTGGGTTTCGGCTCTTCTTCGTCCGACTCCGACATGCTGTAGTCCGGCTCTGGGATAGGCGGCGCTGGCGTCGAATTCTGGAAGGATTGAAGAATGGGTTGATGAAGGCTTTTAAGAGCAGCGTAATTAGATCTGTGAGTTACTGGAAGGGGGGGCATAGTGGAGTACTTAACTTCAATCGAAAAAAATAAAAAGAACCAGATAAGTTACGAAGACTAGTTTTAATCGAAATGATACGACAAGTATTGTATTATAGTTAGATAACTCTAAAAAAAATTTACGAATTATTAACTATTTTGGCATAAAATAACTTTTTTTTGTAGTCTGTAATTTTCCGCTTTGCCCTTATCACAAGGGTAAAGTGGAATTGCACTTTGGGCAAAGTGAAAAAGGCACTTATTAAGCGTTTATCTACTCTATTTGAGCATTTTGCTAATGAGGTCAATTAAATGAAATAACATAAACAACTTATTTGGTAATTAGGAACTGTTTTAGGCCATAAAAAACCTTGTCCCTTACTACTGCAAGATCATATTTTTTTTGCTCCAGTTTTTTTGAAAAATACTGGACGAAACCTATCAATCTTCTTCGATGCATCACCAGATTTCAAAAGACAATGAAGAGTTCCAATTAGGATACCATATTTTTTGATGCCGAACTAATCGTAGTAAAACTCGCTTCCTCCATCGCTCTTCTCATTTGATCTTCTGTCCAGGAGCCTTGGTTCGTTTTACTTTTGTAATAATTATGAACCAACTGAAAAAACAAATTAAATATTTCTATGTGGGAATCATTCCGCTTTGCCCCCTTGTAATTTTTTCCACTTTGCCTTTTTGATAATAATTACAGTTTTCAATTGATAACTAAGAAAGTATTAAAATTTGTTTAATCTACAAAATGTCAAAGGAATCTATGATAAACAGATATTAGATTTAAATAATAAAAATACCATCACTACTCACTTTTCACAATAATATCCATTCTCCAAAATCCTTGAATTTCATAAGAAACTCACTCGATCTACATCGCGCAGTCATGTATCCTGCTCGGTGGCGCTAGCCGAACTGATTTTGGTCAATGACCTTGGTCGGCCCTGTGCTTGGCTTACGTGAAGCACGAGTGCCGTTGAGTGAAAGAGTGTTGGTAAAATCAAGTTTTTCGCTTTGCCCACCCCTTCCACTATGCCCCCCTCTCCCCTACCTATTCCTAAACTACATCTGTCCTACTCAGTTCCCTAGTTTGGTAGATTTTGGAATTGTCGAATTGGGTTAGTTTCTGGAAAACATTGCTGTTCTCAGCTACAATCGAATGTATGATAGATAAATGTCGTGAATTAAGCTGACATGCGCTGCGCAGAGCAGAAAGTAGAATCAGGCAAACAAGGTCAGTTATTAAGGCAAATATGTCGCTTCCACTGTACCCACTAGAGACAGTCTCGGGCCAAGCGGCTGCCTCATCCCGAGCGACAAAATGTGATTCGGTCCGCGGAGACTAAATTTTTCTTTGCAACGATTCGTGCTTCAGGTTGAGGCAGCGTATCCCATTTGAGTAGCCGCCTCGACCCGAGGCTGCCTCTAATAGAGATCCGGCTTGAAGCATTTCTGTTGGGATTGGGACACATCGCACCATGAGAATGAAAGCAACTCATTTAAAAAAATTGAAGTATTAGGTTTTACGCTTTCATTCCATGGTACGATATGATGTGTCACTTTACTTTGAGCCAGCGTGGCTACTCCCCAACGCCATCTACCCATTTCTCCCCTCTTAGTACCTGTCTGAGCAGCGGCGCGTGCGCGTTGAAGGGCTGCGCGTAGTGCGCGGGCTCGTCGGCCGACGCCGCGCGCGCCGGGCCCGCCCACGAGCGGAGCGCGCCCAACCGCACCTGATAAGAAGGTAGATAAGAGCTGTAGATAGTAAGCGCGTGCATAGCTCATTCAAAGGAGGAAGAATAGATTTGAAGAGATTATGAATCAGTCAATGAACGATCGAAGTAAGTTTCATTCAAAAGGTCAGAGACGTGTGGATGTTGATCTGATTTTCATTCATATTGTCTTTAACATGCCGACGACGCCCAAAGGGGAGTCAAGTTTAGCGTCGCGGCGGCGGCGGTACCCGTGCTGGGCCTACAGAGAATCGGGGCCTACCCACTAAAACCTCATGGGATCCTTTACTAGCGCGACACAGGGCTTACTAGTGGCTTAACACCAGAATGGTCTGGTCTGGTGCCCCCCAGGATTTACCGATTCGAAGATTTTAGTACGAATCAGCTACATATATGATACCAATCGCACCCGTATCATGATCCTTGTCATGCAGATGCGCTAGTGAGTACTAATCTGCACGACTGTTGTCACCCCCTGATGCTTGGCACCCGAGGTGACCTTTGACCTAAGACAAACGCAACACCTCACCTCGCTATCGCTGCGTCCCGGCGCGCGGTAAGCCAGCGCGGGCGGCGTACAGCTTGGCGGCGTCCGCTGGGCCTACTGAGGAGCGGGACCTACCCACTCAAACCTTATGGGATCCTCTACTAGCGCGACATAGGACTTACCAGTGGCTTAACAACACGTCTGCACCGCTGTCCGCGCGCGCTCTGGTACTTACTTCGCTGAGGGCTCCCTCCCCCCGGAGGATGCCCCCTTTGAGACTCGCGCTGGGCCTAAGAAAAACGCAACACCTCACCTCGCTATCGCTGCGGCCGGGCGTACAGCTTGGCGGCGTCGGCCGGCCGGAACGTGAATGCTTTAATCACACAGAGGAGCGAAACCTACCCACTTAAACCTAATGGCATCCTCTACTAGCGCGATATGAGGTGTACAGGGCTTACCAGTCGCCTAACACCATATTGTGTGCAACATGCGCATCTGCTGCAACCGGCTCCCTTCAAAGCGCGCGGGTGTCTGCTGCCTTTGAGTCTCGCGCTGGGCCTAATGGTGGGTCCAGACTGGGCGCACGGGCTCGCGCGGCAAACTCAACATCTTGCTCACTCAAGAGCAGGGTGAGCAGGATGACCAGCGTGCCGCGCGAGTCCGTGCACCCAGTCTGGACGCACCATAAGACAAATGCAAGCGTCTCCTCACCTCGCTATCGCTGCGGCCCGGCGCGCGGTACGCCAGCGCGGGCGGCGGGCGGTGCGGCGGCGCGGCGTACAGCTTGGCGGCGTCCGCCGGCCGGAACGTGGACGCGCGCGCGCCCGGCGGCGGCGGCGGCGGGTGCGCCGGCGGCGGCACTCGCGCTGGGCCTGGAATATACATGTTGACACCACCAATCAATTGACGTACTTTTAAAAACTGTCAAAACGAAACTCTCCCAATGATTTTGTATGGCACTACAAGCAAATGACGTCACTATTTAGTCAACTCAAATAAATTACTTTTTTCAATTACAATGCGACCAAAAATCGTAATTTACAGGTAATTTAAAATTAATTAAGTTTTTCAGACCAGAGTGAAGTGTCCTTTTAGAAAAGTTGTGATTTCGAATTATTGGAGAATGGTGTCAAACTGTCCATTGAGGAGGAATACGTGAGATGACAAAACAGTCGCTATGACAAAAAATAATTGTAAAGTGTTGCATATTGGTTCGCAGGCCGCCCTCATACACACATGTATGCTTAGTTATACGATGCGTGGCTGCGCCCACGATCTTACGTCTCGATAATAAATCAGTGCGTTGAAAGCAGTCTTGTGTTTCACTCGCGTCCCCTGTGCTAAAATACTTACCATAAAGAAAGCTGTATTTTATTATAGACAAAAAAAGTTTTACAAGGCAAAGAAAAGCTACGAAAACCCGAGGACAGTGATCGGGATAGCAAACCGCAACTGCAGATTATGTTAACGTGACTGGATCGTGGCCACGGATCTTGCCCGTAGCGAAACAACTGCATACCGCCTCTGTCATAAAGAACATGCAACGAGAACGCAGTAAAAGTTCTAACTCAAAAGATCTAGAAAAACTTCTATAGTGTCCTACACTGAACTTTCCCACCCGTGACATTGATAGGGGGCGCCACCGTCAATACCGGATCGCTGGTTCCAATTTTTTCCACATTGGAAAATACTGAAATGTCATTTGCAGAAGGGCATAGCCATCAGTGCCGGATTACTAATTCAGGGGGTTTAGACAAAGTGCAAATTATAATCGCAAACCAGTCGAAAAGTGGTCGAAAAGCCCCTTTTTTGTATGGAGTTTTGACGGATTGATTTTCGATTCGATCAAAAAGTGCGTTTTGTCTAGGGGGGCTGATCTCTGCCATTTGACGATTCAAAATCGTTCAACTTTATTTTTTTTTGTCACCTGTCATCCGCTTTGCATTGGAGGGAGTTGAACCTCAACTTCAAACTCCTATGTTGTTCTGATTAATTTCGTTGCGCGTGCTGTAGATCTTGGCTACACTGGAGTTGCAGCAGTGGAAACGAGAAGTGGGAATAGTCCTAAATCCTAAATATAACTTATTGGGTGGAGCTAGCTTCCACACGCCTGGGACACGTACCGTGCACGTCCTCGCTCACGCACGTGCGCCGCGGCTACTAATTCACGTATTATGACAGTCAAGATCTCGCTGACGTTCAGAAGTCGTCATTGAAAAACAGTTCTAAATCCGTATTTACAAGGGTCGTTTTGATAGAATGATTACTCAATAGGATCGCAACTCAGTGTTTTCTTGTCGTTGAAGACTTGTTACGTGAATAAGGCGTCGGGTCGGCTGGTCGGGCGTGGAGTGGAAGTCGCGCCGCAGCGTGCCGCCCGCGCCCGCTGTGCGTCCGCTTGCCCACGCGTGGGACCTACCGTGCACGTCCTCGCTGGAGCGCGTGCGCGGCGGGTGGTGCGCGTGCGCCGCGGCCAGAACGGCTAGCACGAAAAACTTTCGAGTTCGAATCTTTTGCTTATTCGAATCGCCATCAAAAGATTTAGTACGAAAACTACAACAGCGCCCTTGTGAACGTGTCGATTAGTGAACTTAGTATGAGAAATGGTTGCACGAAACTTATTTTGAAAATCAAAGTTGTCACGTTATCGTTAATTCGAAGGTTGAGTATCGAATTTTGTCGAATACCTACGCAAACGATTCGAAGACGAAAGTTGTTCATGCTAGAGGTACAGGTCGGGCGTGGAGTGGAAGTCGCGCCGCAGCGTGCCGCCCGCGCCCGCTGTGCGTCTGCTGTGCGTCCGCTTGCCCACGCGTGGGACCTACCGTGCACGTCCTCGCTGGAGCGCGTGCGCGGCGGGTGGTGCGCGTGCGCCGCGGCCAGGTCGGGCGTGGAGTGGAAGTCGCGCCGCCCGCGCCCGCTGTGCGTCCGCTGTGCGTCCGCTTGCCCACGCGTGGGACCTACCGTGCACGTCCTCGCTGGAGCGCGTGCGCGGCGGGTGGTGCGCGTGCGCCGCGGCCAGGTCGGGCGTGGAGTGGAAGTCGCGCCGCCCGCGCCCGCTGTGCGTCCGCTGTGCGTCCGCTTGCCCACGCGTGGGACCTACCGTGCACGTCCTCGCTGGAGCGCGTGCGCGGCGGGTGGTGCGCGTGCGCCGCGGCCAGGTCGGGCGTGGAGTGGAAGTCGCGCCGCCCGCGCCCGCTGTGCGTCCGCTGTGCGTCCGCTTGCCCACGCGTGGGACCTACCGTGCACGTCCTCGCTGGAGCGCGTGCGCGGCGGGTGGTGCGCGTGCGCCGCGGCCAGGTCGGGCGTGGAGTGGAAGTCGCGCCGCCCGCGCCCGCTGTGCGTCCGCTGTGCGTCCGCTTGCCCACGCGTGGGACCTACCGTGCACGTCCTCGCTGGAGCGCGTGCGCGGCGGGTGGTGCGCGTGCGCCGCGGCCAGGTCGGGCGTGGAGTGGAAGTCGCGCCGCCCGCGCCCGCTGTGCGTCCGCTGTGCGTCCGCTTGCCCACGCGTGGGACCTACCGTGCACGTCCTCGCTGGAGCGCGTGCGCGGCGGGTGGTGCGCGTGCGCCGCGGCCAGGTCGGGCGTGGAGTGGAAGTCGCGCCGCCCGCGCCCGCTGTGCGTCCGCTGTGCGTCCGCTTGCCCACGCGTGGGACCTACCGTGCACGTCCTCGCTGGAGCGCGTGCGCGGCGGGTGGTGCGCGTGCGCCGCGGCCAGGTCGGGCGTGGAGTGGAAGTCGCGCCGCCCGCGCCCGCTGTGCGTCCGCTGTGCGTCCGCTTGCCCACGCGTGGGACCTACCGTGCACGTCCTCGCTGGAGCGCGTGCGCGGCGGGTGGTGCGCGTGCGCCGCGGCCAGGTCGGGCGTGGAGTGGAAGTCGCGCCGCAGCGTACCGCCCGCGCTCGCGACCGCCCCCGCTGTACTGTTCGCCTTGCCCCACGCCTGGGAATACCAAAATAACTTGAACCTCAAGTAAGAGCTGAACAAAGAAAATTTTAACTGTTAGTGCCCCCGAGCATTAGGCAGGTCGCTGCGGCCAACTATTTCTTCCGCGGTGTATGTAAGTGCGCGCATTACGCAGCCTGACCACGCGGCCTTTCATTAAACATTACATAATTAATTTGTTAGCCGCAGCGACCTGTCCGCGCGCCCTGGCCGTCTAATGCGTGGGGACACTTATCATTTTCATTTACCGAAAAAGAGAGGATGTAATATTATATTTTTGATGTATGTATCTGCGTAGCTAATAATGTAAAACTGCAAGGCACAGACTAAAAAAATATGCAGGAATAAAGACTTGAGAGCATGAAGTTTTAACGAGATCCGACGAAGACAACAAGTCTTGATTCTACCCTTTTTTCATGGGGGTTTTGCACCTGTTATAAATTGAAACACAACCTCGCAATATTTCTATGGAATCACATAATAATGAACGAATGTCACACAGTCACAAACTCACTTTGCCCCTCGAGCGCTTCATCTCAGCCACAGAGGCGTACACCCGACCGGACCCGTTGCCCCGCGCAGGCGAGTACGGCGGTGAATTGGACCCGCCCTGGAATGCTGACCGCGTCATCATCGCGTTGTTGCCGCCGCTGGAAACAATATTTCATCATCAGGACTTTATTTCATCATCAGGAATTTAGCACTGCTGGAGCAGGGCCTTTTCTAAATTAGAAGATTTAGCCTACACTGGGCAGGCATGTTGAAAAATTCTATTTGATGAAAACCGTAAGAGTGATCGGGAAAGTTAGTAAAAACATAAGTAGTATTACATGGCCGAACGACCTTGAGCATTAGAGCGAGACAACGCGCCTCTCGCCGCGCGCCCGCGCTTCTGCCCGATACTGTGCCGATACCAAAGTGCGCNTACATTATTTTTTGAAAAAAAATGAACAACAATTTTTTAGATAATTAAATTCTCTATCATTTGGTGAAAGAATCATTAAAATCGCACCAGCCGTTTAGGAGTAGTAGGAAATTTCTTTGGTGAAATTAGAAGAAAGTTAAGAATTTTTCCTGTCAAAACTAATAGTTGTAACATAAAAAACGAACAACAATTTTTTAGTTTAAGATATTATACATCTCACACATATTTTTTTTTATTGTTTGGATCATCCATTTAGGAGGAGTAGGGATTCAAAGAGAGGTCTATTTTGCAGTTTTGCCTCACCTATCGCCTTAAAATTCGTATACATACACACCGATTGGCACTGGTATCTGAGAGCAATTCATCTGTATCTTCAAAACATTGACATTAAAGTTTCTGATAACGCCTTTAGAATTGGAAAAGCTGATTATAGAGATTGAAAGTGTATATCGATGACATGCTACTCACAGGTCAGGAGCAGCATCAGCTTGTCTTTGGAAGAGCTCTTCTAACTCGGCGGCCGTGATGCGGCCCGACGCGGGCCTTTGCCGTATCGACGCCGTTCTGGGGGCCACGGGCGTGCCAGACATTGGAGTTCCACCTAGAAAGAAAGAAGGATGTTACGGTGCAATAAAAATCAAGTTAATCTTTTGGAAAACTAAGCTTTACTGCTAAAGTTTCTTCAAATAACTGTTTGAAGACATGCTTCCGGTACGAAGAGTATAATAAAAAAGAAGAATACCAAGTTACTCACTATTACTACTACCACCATGAAGCTGAACTGATTCAGCTGATGACGATTTGCCAGCCACACTTAAAGGTTCGCAACTTTCCTCCTTTTCTCCACCATTTTCTGTAAGATAGAAAGCTTCAGTTACTAAAAATCTGTTTTTCTTCTTAGTCAAGCATTGATAGATGTCTTATTGACTTTATTAGCTGTTAGATGTTGATTGCCTCTCATCATATAGAGCGAAATGTGGCATGATCATTCTGAAATCCGTTGTTGTGTAAAGTTGGTCATAATCTTAAATTAATGGGGTTTTTAATCGAGTGCAAGAAAGGATGTAAAATAATCAAAACGCTGCGACTTACCTAGTCCAGCGACCATAGACTTGGCCCTCGCTCTGCCGACGCTCAGCGTGGTGCGCGGATCGCGTCTCGGCGGCGCGGGCGCAGGGCTCCTTCCTGTAACAGCCGACTCTCCTACAGACTGCCCTAGCTTTTGCTACTATGCGGAAGGCGAGTGGAAGCGTGCTGTGTGCGTACCCACTATTTATACGCGTCAAAATCACGCCTCAAACCCCTGATTTCTGAATTGAGTTTTTTGCGTGCTCATCCTCATGAACTTCATATGAACATTTTTTTTTCAGTTCATACATAAGTAGTAAATGAGCACGTTCAAGCTAGAAATCTCAATACAGAAATCGCGTCAATGTCTTTTGATTTCAAGGATGATTTCGATACGTGTCAAATAGGAGGATCATCAGGTGTATGTTATGATGATTCAGTGATTCAATCGCAGGATATTACAATAGTAAGAGCACCCGGCCAGATTGACTTGACTTTTCTCTCTTATTCTTACCAGCACCAAGTTTGAAAGATAGAAGAGAGAAGTTGAAGTCTGGTGATGTTAATGAGTTTGAAGATCTCTGATTACACTTGATTTCTCTAATTTGTAATATCATGACGAATGAAAACATGCGTAATGAAAGGTGATTATGAAGGTGAAGAATGACTACCACTTTTGCCCAGAAAATGCTACAGTATACAGATTATAGTGCTAATAATAGACTTTTCTGTACATCCCATATTGTTAGTTTTTTGATGACGTGTATGTTGGTATTAGGGTTTCTTCGGTACATCTGCAGTGCTTCAAAATTACAGTTACCATTACCAATGTGAGCGTGTTAGGCAATGTTATTACTTAGAGTTATTTTTGTAAGAAAACTATTTCTCTAGCGAAGCTGTAAATTACAAATTACAAACTGTGGTTATTCTAATCTAAAAAAGCTGGATAACTCCACGAGACATCACACTCGTCTCAGCCAAACCCACAAATCACAACAATTATCTCGCAAAGCTGGAAGTTGGCCTTAGTTAGGCGACTGCAGAAGCTGTAGTGTCGCTAAAGCCATCATAAGAGTGTGGCATGTTTTACTATCACTCCTCAGATTTGGCAAACAAACTCACAAAACGTGTCTAGCGAAGCCGAAGATTACTGACAAACTCGTCAAGCTGTTTTGGCGTTGTAACGAAATTTGTCCGAAAAATAACCGGCCATTGTTTTCTAGCCGACCCGTGACAGAGTAGATAATATTGCTTTGTCCTACTGGTTCACAATAAAAGCAGTAGTATTAATGGCTAAGTTGTTATTTGTACTGCTATAATTATGATGAAAGTAATTTGCACTGGAACAGGAGAAAACAGGAGGGTAATGAAAAAAAAGATTAAATTTTACAGCAGTCTCAACTTATATCTGGATTTTCTAGGACACAATAAGTCAACGCCGGTAAGTATTCCCTTTGTTGTGGGTTTACGAATGCATTACGGTAAGTTAGTCTTTCCATCACTCAAAGCAAGATGATGAGTGATAGCTACAGAAACGGCGTTAGAGTAACCCTACCTACTGGTAAACAAGATTTAAACTAGCGGGCGCTCTCATATCTGACCAAATGCTGGTCAAGTTAACAAAGGTCGGCTACTTTTCGGACAAAGCCCGCCGTAAAGTGTAGTGACTAACCGCCGGCAGCTTTTCTAGGCAAAGTAGCCGCGTAGGGGCGACCCGAGCTGGACAACTGAGCCTGCGCGCCACCCGCCGCGCACGCGCCGCCCTCCGTCCCTGGCGACCGACACACCGTTACCATTGGCGATACTAGCTTCGGAACTTTGGGCTTTATGTTTTTCCAAATAGATGTTGTTTAAAGTTTTATACCCTCAAAATTGAATTCAGCATAGGCTTTAGCTATCCCATTTGACGGTGACTGTTTTGAATTTGAATGAATTGCGGAATCACAAAATTTCTATATCTTACTCATTCTGTACTACGGTTTATACTTTGCTCTTGCTACTGTCTGATTTTTCGCGTTCTTATACGCAATTTGATTTTAATCCCTAGAAATTGATAAAGTCACTATAAAGACTTATTATTTCAGCTTTCAAGCCAAGAAAACCAACAATTTCTGTCTACTTTGAAAGTTCCTTGCGTGAGATAAAAGCTACTTATTTACTTTTATAATTTTATATCATTACTTCCGAACGAAGTCTAGTTACGCCAATGGATTGCTGAAAAATTAGTAGACCATCCCTCCAATAGTGGGTTAGGTTTTTGCCCTGAAGAATTTCTTAGTTTATCAGAAACATATTTTACAAATGTACATAAGGGCAATTTGAGTAGTTGCTATCCAACCAGGGCTAGCCTCTTGAATTCTTGATTGCCAATGTCTGTGTTGTAATGGGACTTGTTGATATGGATGATATCTGAAATAACGTTAACTGGAGGGAGCCTGTAAAGTCACGTTCATCAGAAAAACTTATGTACAAGGTTAGTGTAGTAAATTTGAAATATATTACAGTAGGTATATGCAGAAGTGGTGAGTGTGTTGTATTCTATGGTTTTCTTTTTGTATGAGGGTGGAAGAGGAGGCTGTCAGGTTCGGTTCAGGCGTTCACATGAAGAGTATTGTTGCCGAACAGAGAGGTAAAGTCTAGACTTTACTTCTAAATACTAGTATTTAGACCATCATATTGTTATGGTTGTTCAAATTGCACACTATTCAAGATTGGTTGGTCCTGACAAGAGTTCTATGTTGTTAGTAAACCTATTGGCACTCAATGAACGTGACTCTCGGCATGTACGAGGTGTTGTGAGTAGAGACTGACCTGCGGCGAGTGAGACGACAGTCATGGATACGAGCGCGCCTGAACTACGGATCAGTTCTACGACGTGCTCGTGAGATGCAGCCGATACGTCTTCCCCATTTATCTGCGAAAGAAACGGTTTACTTGTGAGACCACATCACATTAAGCAAAATCCTAAAGTTGAATATAAAATTCTGTGGAATAAGGTCCAGTTTTGCAAAATTTTATCACCAGCTGAGTTGCTCTATCGCTTATTGTATGGCAGACAGCAACCTTCAATCTCAAACCTCTGTTGATACCAATCACTAGAAGATCTTATTCTTCTTCAAGCTGGAACGAGTCTCAAGTAGGTATAGTACGATCGAAGTACCTAGGTACCATACTGAGGAACAGTTTTTGAACTCGAAGTCTACCTATAGGAAATCTTCTAGCTAGAGACTCAACATCCCTCGTCGTATATGTTTCTAGGTACCTTTTTGTCTTTGTGTGATGTTCATTCTTTCTTCATCTAAACATTACTATGAATACGTACAGCTATTAAGAAGTCTCCTTTCCTCAGTCCCGCTCTATCAGCCACGCCCCCAGCGTCCACGTCATCCAAATACTGAAGTCCAGGGCAGCGCTCCGAGGGGCGCAGCTCCATCAGAGGCGATGACGCCTTCGCCCCCCGCAGAATAAACCCGAAGCCTCGCTTCGCGCGGTGAAGCACCACTGTCCTTGTCTCCATGTTGCCATATCTGGGGATTCAAATAAGTTATAAAGTAGCGGAAAGACGGGTAAAATTCTTGAGTACAGTCTGACTAGAAACGTCACAGCAGGAAACCCGTAAGTACGTCAGAACTATGTAACGCAATAAAGCAACATCACGTTCTCTTCACTACAGATGAGAAGGTTAACTCTACGCCACTTAGAATAAAATTCCTAAAGCGGACTGCGCTATTTCCATTTCTGTCGCTAGTATTTGAAGAAAAGATAATAGCTAGTGAAAATTAACGAGAACAATAAATACACCTTCGCCCAAATAATCCGATAAATATCTTCGACACACATGATGCTATACCTTCGACCTCAACCAATCGACTGGCTGATAAGTAACATTGGCAGACTAACTGGCAATATTTATAGCCCTATTGAACCTGTGTTTGTAAACAAAATTGCCGGTTTCGGTTCACGAAATCTGTTTACAAATGCCCCAAATATGTTTACAATCGTTTTGATTGTGTTGGTGCCGCATTGTTGTGATAGTTTATGGTGCAGGTCACAGTTCACTTACGACTTTTTTATCCTAGGCGCGGTGGCGCTGTACGTTTTGCTGAGGGCCATTTCCCGTCTCCCTGTTACGCGGGAGTGGTGGATTGGACCTGATGATAACACCTGAAATGGAAATACACAAATGGGTGAATGAAATCGTAAAATTCACATTTCAAAAATGGCGAGAGGGATAGAAAAATGTGGATCCTAAGATTCCTAAGTTTATAACGAAAACTATTAATTTCGTTCGACTGGACATGGTTTACATTAAAAACCAGGGGTGTTTTCAACTCCGTTGATCTTGAGACCAGTAAGAGTATGTTGGAAGTCATGGTTACCCGGTGCAAATGTCTGGAGGTCATAGTTACCTGGTGCCAGTGTCATAGAGGTCATAGTTGCCTGGTGCAAGTGCCTCTGAGGTCATAGTTATCTGGTGCAAGTGTCTCGAAGGTCATAGTTTCTTGGTGCAAGAGTTTCGGAGGTTATTATCTCTTGGTGCAAGTGTCTTAGAGGTCACTGTTACCTGGTGCTAGTGTCTAGGAGGTCATGTTACCTGGTGCAAGTGCTATATCTACCTGGTGCAGGTGCGTGTTTTGCCTCAGGCGCACCTCCTGCACGCAATGCGCGGGAAAGAGTCCGGAGGCGCCGGAGCCGCGCACCGTGCCCTCCAGGTAGTCGTCGTACTTCGTAGTTATCTGATGCATGTGTCTAGGAAGTCATGTTACCTGTTGCAAGTGTCATAGTTACCTGGTGCAAGTGCGTGTTCTGTCGCAGGCGGACCTCCTGCACGCAATGTGCGGGAAAGAGTCCGGAGGCTCCGGAGCCGCGCACCGTGCCCTCCAGGTAGCCGTCATCCATCATAGAAATAGTTACCTGGTGCTAGTGTCTAGGAGGTCATGTTACCTGTAGCAAGTGTCATAGTTACCTGGTGCAGGTGCGTATTCTGCCTCAGGCGCACCTCCTGCACGCAGTGCGCGGGAAAGAGTCCGGCGGCGCCGGAGCCGCGCACCGTGCCCTCCAGGTAGTCGTCGTCCTTCGTAGTTATCTGATGCATGTGTCTAGGAAGTCATGTTACCTGTAGCAAGTGTCATAGTTACCTGGTGCAAGTGCGTGTTCTGTCTCAGGCGCACCTCCTGCACGCAGTGTGCTGGGAAGAGTCCTGCGGCGCCGGAGCCGCGCACCGTGCCCTCCAGGTATCCGTCATCCGTCGCGCTGGACACTGCAAGCGCGCACGCGCAACACACGCCTTCAGTATACCGTATTACGTACATTTTACACTGATTTTTGGGGGAAACTAATCAAATGTGCCTTTGTACATTGATAACACTGATGTTTAAAACAACTGTCCGACAAACTATGGATACTAAAAACGAATAGAAACACAAGTTTTCGAATGGTACAAAATGGGTGGTCTCACTGCTATGAGTAAAGTAAATAGAAGCACTTATTAAAATTTCTAATCAACTGAATTATTTTATGTATTGTGTGATTACAAGTTGTTAAAACTAAAGCCTCTAGGAAACTGAATGATTCTACGTAACCACAAATGTTTTTTGCAAAGTTTTGTACACATTATAATACATACTAGCTCTGCTTAGCGTCTTTATTTGGCTAATATAAACACGATTAGATGTTTATAACTTGATATCGAATGTTTCTATTACAATTATTTACTGCAATCGATGCACATACTTATTCCTGCAGAATAAATATTCATACATATTAATTTGCATCTGGACGTAGGTAATATTAATATTTTTTAAATCATCCTTTAGATAGGGATTTTCTATTGAGGAGTTCTCTCATCATCTCTGGGAAAACGATTAATCTTATTATTAAACATGTATCGATGTGGACATGAACCCCGATTATTTTATGTGTATGTATCGATGTTTGTAAATGAATACACCTGAGACGACTCCGCTGTTTAGTCAGATGGCCCATGACTCATGCCTCGCGAACTATGGTTGGGTTAGTGTAACTGACGTACGTTAATGAATTAGTATGCAAATATGCTGCTTCAAGTCACAAAGTAAACCAATTATCCGCGTGAATGGTCTCTGAAATAATAGTTGCTGATAATTAGGTACTTCCTGGTGAAACTGCGCGAGTGTTCAAGTCGAAATAACGTTTCGAAATTCATACATTTTCGATAGTAATTAGGGTCAAGGAGGCAACAGTGACTCGGTCGGCTACAGTGGCTCAGTCATGTTTCGACCTGAAGGCATAGGAATATATATTTGTCTCTTTTACCGATTCAAAGGTCTTGGTACCCGAACACATTTAAACCAGTTTGCTCGCCGGTCAAGTGCCGTGCGGAAGGGTGAGGGAATGTTTTTTGTTTTCGCGCCCACTAAATTACATTCTAAGGTGAGTTTCGATTGTTTTCATATATTTGTTTGTTGCTATAGGTAATAGCCGTTATATTTATCGGATAGTAGGTCTTGTATCAATTGTCTTTAATCCGAATTTTGACTAATTTGTTTTACATCTTGGTTTTTTTGATCAAATATTTACAAAATGGCGTAGAAGTACACAGTGACTCAATTTTAATACTTTATACGAATTCAATATTTTATAACTTTAAATCGAATTTTGTTTTTTATTTACAGAATGCCACGGAAAAAAACCGACAGAAAAATAGGGAAGAAATAAATAACGAAGAGATTGAGATGACTTAAGATCTTATAGGTAGCAATAAAAGTACTAAGAGTCGTGTTGAATTGTTGATTATAATAAGAATAGCTTGTGCAGTTTTGTTATTATTTCTAATAAAAAACTACGCGGAATGGGCATTTTCTTTTCATATAAATACTGCCGTACCACGTTAATACTGTGTACCACGGTAGTGAGTCAGTGTGTACACCTAGTAGTCCACAGTGGCTCAATTATCATTTTTTTGTTTTAGGTTCCTACTTTGACATAAGTAGTAAATAATGTAGAATCATGAGTGCTCAGTTACAGTTCAATAGTGTATCTAAAATGTGAGCAAATTTTAGGCCAATATTAAAGCGATATCTATTTTTATTAAGCTTCGAAAAAAAAGTGAGTCACTGTTGCCTCCCTGACCCTACTTATAAATACCTGCCGTGTAATTTGCATATAAAGAATTGCTAAGATACTTCATACTCGTACTTTGACTATTGTTGTTTTCTGTAAATAGTGAACTTCAGGAGCTAAAATAATGCAATTTAGGTAAGTACAGGAGAAAAGAGACCGTACCTAAGGTCACTTTATCAAATTGTATGTGTCAGGATTTTTAACCAGCAGGAGGAGGATGGGCCCTCCTATTTACCAGAGGCAAAAGACACAAAATAAATACAAAACATTGACATTGTTTTTCTAGTTAAGTTTCTCAGATCTCACCTTCAATAATATCGCCCTGGTTCAGCCGAATATGCCCGGGCTGCGAGGGCTCGTAAGGCTGCAGACACACCACGGTGGTGGCGGCGGCCTGCAGCGAGCACGTGGTGGTGTCGGAGTTGGACGTGCCCACGCCGCTCGAGTCCGAGATGATGTCGCTAGTGTCGCCCGCGCTTTTATCTGTAGATACGGCTGGGTTGTGAGAAAAGATGCTCGTTTTGGGAGCGTTTTTGTGTCGCCTTTGTACTTTTAATAACTGCGGTATGTTGTTTTTTTTTTCAACTTTTGTGCGACTATTTGTTAGTAATTGGACCTTCTCTGATGTAAACAGCACACGCGATTTACCTAGCTGTGTTAAAAGGACTGAGTCGTGAGGTGGACTCTTCCCTCTTTGTTGTTCAGACTTGTCTATGGCTGTTCTTTTCTAATGATTTAAATGAGAATGCTTTTTAAGGCACTTTATAATATCGGCATCGCCAATAACCTTGTCAAAATATTTTCGTGTTTATGATTGTCAACAGATGCCATGTGCACACAAAACTGCTGATTTAATTTTTACATATTGACATGATGGTATTTTCAACAAGGAATAGGTACATTTTCCCCCACATTATGAAATTGCAGGTGCGTGCATTGATTGGGTTCAACATAGCTACGAATATTTACATAAATACAACTTTTAGTTTAGCGAATTTATATAACCGATTTCATAATACTGCTGGGATTCAGGGTTAATACTGTAAGTACATAAACATTTTTGAGTGCCATACAGTAGGAATTATTAGCATTTACATATACTTGGGAGATTTTGAAGTATTTTTTTAATCTGGACATAAGTACAAAGAAAAATTACGTAACAAAAATGTTGTTTAAAAGGATTTTTTGAAGAATCTTAGTCCTAATCTAACATGTAGAGGGTAACTCGGAATGTGAAGAAGCGAAGCTGTGGGCTACAGCACAGAGACATGCGATGATGGTGCTTGGTGATGGTTGTTTACCACGACACCGGGAGTCGCGGACGGCGTCTGTGAGGTTTGAGCGTGTCCAGTGTTTTATGGAGGAACATACCAAAATCCAGGTGAAAAAAGAATGACTCTAAAATAGATTAAAAAAAAACAGTAAGACAAAGTTTCTAATAAAGAAAAAAATGGTGACGGTAAACTTTATGGAGTTTACTGTCGTTACCGTTTAGTATGATACATATTGTGGATTTCTACACACCTTTTTTTTTAATAAAATATTTTCGTCAAGAATAAAAGTCCCGCTAACCCCTCTTTTTTAATAACATAAAAATAGCAAGAAAGTCAATTAAAAATATTAAAATATAACAAAAAAAAACTGAAGAAAAAGTGAAAAATGAAATTCAAAGTGGATAATGTGCAACCACCTTAGCCTTAAATGACGTCACTCCAACACTGGACACACCGTTACCCAGACCCGCCCAAGCGTTACCTGTCACAATGCTCGCATCGTCTTCATGGCTTGGATGACTCGCGTCGCTGATGCTGGACGAAGCTGATGAAAATGGCCGCTCCAGACTGCAGGGCGAGGCAGCGGCTCGCAGCATGGCGTCCAGCTCTGGTATCCGGGTGGACGACGCCAGCGAGGAGCGGTCGCCGGCCCACCAGCCCCACGCGCCCGACCGCCGCTTGGGGTTGTACCGCGGCGGGCCCCGGAACGGCACTGCGAACCCAGCGTCACCAGACCGAACCACATCAACGGTGCGTCATATGCCCTATGTGAACTGCTAGGGATGTTACGGAGGTGAGTTTGGAACCGGAGTTTTTCAATTCATGTATCGAATCATGAGCCGAATGCTCAGAAAAAGGAAGTCCTTTTCTTAATCAAACTTTTTCGCTGTGTTGTATACGCGTGACTTTGATTAAAGTAGTTTTTTTTAAATACTGTATTTTGGTTTTATTTTTTTTAACTCTCATTAGATAAAAGTTTAATTTCATAAATATTTAAAGCTTCTGTCAAACACTGTAAACGACTGAACGAGAGACGCGAATAGGATACCTCGTGGTTTCATGGTGAAATACACGTTTAAATTTTTATGGCGAGGCCGTTCCAGATACTTCCAGTTCAAAGATTTTGGAATGGATGTTAGCTACATTGGAGGTGAATAAACAATAGAAAGTTCCAAGTTTTCGGAATCTGAATCGAAGATCCGTAACATCCCTGTTGCACCCCACTGGTCCATAGACCAATGGGTTATATGGGACTCATTCGCCAAAAAGACGGACCCATTCAAGCTGCGTCAAATTACCAACCCAACCCATGTGCACCAACTATATACCAATACCAATACATATGTTCATCAATAAATATTATTAATATCATATCAGTAACGATTCGTGTTTAAAACAGCGTTAACAACCATCACCGTCATGATAAGCAATGGAATAGACTGTTCTAGATACATAGATAGAGGATGAGTACATGCGTTAGTAAATATAAGTTAAAAATGCTATATAAAAAGTTAGTAAAGTTAATACGTAAAAGCGTTTGCATGTTAATAAAAACACATACATTCTAATAAATTCTAATAATATGCGAATTTTGGAGACAAATAATATTTTTACAATAATTATTTGTATCTGAAATCCGCATGAAAATTATTTACATAAATTATATAAAAGCGTCAGCGCGGGCCATGCAAGAAACTCGAAGACAACTCACCAACTTCGTCAGTTTTGTAGTTCTTTATTACTTCTGCTAGTTCTAAATTTCCTGCTATAACTGCCACCTGAAACGTGTGGGTAGAACGTTGAATTTTCAGTAGTTCGGCAGTAAACGTAACAAGATTGTCCGAGGCAGCACTGGATTCAAATAAATTTTTGCTATAGACTAAGAGCTAGTGCACGCCAGACCTACGTCATTTTATAAAAGCTAAAAGTTTGTCAGCATATGCTCCCAATATAGGATAGAATGTTGGTGAATCATGACGTTTGGGTCATCGTAGCTTTGGCAGCTATCCTAAAAAAACTGTCGGGCAAGGAGTTGGAACTGTCACTGTCAAATCTAATGTCTATCCTATATTGGGAGCATATGCTGACAAACTTTCCGCTTTAAAATGACGTAGGTCTGGCGTTCACTAGCTCTTAGTCTATGAGGTATGGGAGCGGTACAGTACAGGACATTTTTGTGACATTAAACGTCAGCAAGACTTCAGATGTACATGACGTGCTTCAGACTTGTATGCTCTCTGGCGCGTCATATGTCACCCCTCCAGTACCACTCCTATACCCCAGGCATTGGCTCAGTTATGCGCTCGACCGTTCCAAATACGGCTTCCTTTCTTTCCCCCCATTACCTGTACCCATCCCTACCTGATACGGCGTCTGGTTGGCGAAGTTCAGCGCCTCCTTATCGCACCCTCTGAACAGGAGTTGCCGCGCGCACGAGTCCTGCGCATTCACCGCGCACACGTGTAATGGCGTATTGCCCGACGCGTTGCGACCGTTCATGTCCGCGCCGTAGAATAGTAGGTGGTCTAGGTGTTGGACGAGCCCGTTGCGGCATGCCTGGAAGGTGGGAATAATTTTGTTAAGATAAATTCTGCTTTAACTGTACAAAGTCGCCCTAAATATTCATTAAAAATTATAGAGAAAAACCAATACCTCCTAACTAATATTTTTTAAGAAATTGACCCTCTCTAATCTATGTATTATTTTTCAAATTATTCACATTTTAAGTTTGTTTTGAAAAAAAAAGTGTTTAGAATTTTATCCGAAAAAGAAATTCTTTTCGTGTTGTAAATGTATGCGCGAAAATTTAAGTCACGAGTGAGGAAAAACAAAAGAACATCGATATTAGTCGTCGAGAAAAAGAATACAGTTTGCTTCGTGGCCAAACTGGCCAGTGTCGCGCGGTCAAGGAGGCGGCCATGTGTGGCTGCAACACAGTTTATAAGCAAAACGCACGCGGCGTTAGGTTTTGCAAGAGTTAGGTTTTGCATGAGTTAGGTTTTCCAAAAGTTATGTTTACCAGTGTTAGGTTTTGCAAGAGTTAGGTTTTCCAAAAGTTATGTTTACCAGTGTTAGGTTTTGCAAGAGTTAGGTTTCCCTAAAGTTATGTTTACCAGTGTTAGGTTTTGCAGGAGTTAGGTTTTCCAAAAGTTATGATTACCAGTGTTAGGTTTTGCAGGAGTTAGGTTTTCCTAAAGTTATGTTTACCAGTGTTAGGTTTTGCAGGAGTTAGGTTTTCCAAAAGTTTGATTACCAGTGTTAGGTTTTGCAAAAGTTAGGTTTTCCAAAAGTTATGTTTACCAGTGTTAGGTTTTGCAAGAGTTAGGTTTTCCTAAAGTTATGTTTACCAGTGTTAGGTTTTGCAGGAGTTAGGTTTTCCAAAAGTTATGTTTACCAGTGTTAGGTTTTTCAGAAGATAGGTTTTGCGAAAGTTAGGTTTTCCAAGAGTTGAGTTTACCAGAGGTAGTTATCCAGAATTTGGATATCCAAAAATGGGGTTTTCTAAGAGATTTAAAAAAAATGCTTAGGTTTTAAATAGTAAGGTTTTCAAAGGTAGGTTTTCAAAGAGTTAGGTTTTAGCAGTTAACATTTACATAATCAGGTTTAAAAAAAAATTCTGTGACGAACATTTATCGATGGCACATTGTTTTAGGAAATACGAAGTTCGTATTACGGACCTGGTGAACTTCTTGCCAGCCCTGTAGATCGGTGGCGCCAATGGTCGCGTGGTCATGCAGCAGGGTCTCGCACAGCAGTGGGTCGGTCTTATTCGTCACTGACAAGTATAGAGGGGTCAGTGCCTTCCCATCCTTGTAGTTCGGAGAAGCCCCCAGTTCCAACAACGTCTTGACCGCTTCTAGAGAGTTTTTCTCGACTGCTCTGTGCATGGCAGTGCTTCCATCCTTCGTTCGGTAGTCTAGAAGAGCCCCTCCATTTACTAATGCTATCAAAACCTTCCCCGGTGACTTTAGGCCAGCTGCTATCGTTAAAGGTGTATCTGAAATGAGACAACAACAGTTTTAGCAAAATATCCTTTACACGTGATTAAATGGTATTTAGGACAAAGCTACCTGGCAATAAAATATAAGATGTAAAACGTTTACAACCTGGACGAAAAAGTTTATGGCACTTTTTGGAGCGTAAAATTAGCATTAGTACTCTGTTGCATTCACTTTTATTGGCTTAAAATCCAATAAGCAACATGCAAAATGTAATAAAGAAGATCTAGTCTGAATCCAATAAGCAACATGCAAAATGTAATAAAGAAGATCTAGTCTGAATAAAGTATTCTTATTCTTATTCTTATTCTTATTCTTAATTTTAGAGCCTATAAAAACTCTCATCTGCCTATGCTTACAATTATTTGGATTTATTTAAATTCAGAAGGTGGATAATGGAGACGCTTTAATGTAGTCTTTCACAGAACGTCCATTAATCTAAGTAATCAGTCCCGGCTGAATCATTACTCAAATCCAAGTTACAAGATATCGCTCGGAAGGAAATATATCACAAATTAGGCACGTCGTTCTCAAGGCGAGAACGATATACATCGCGGATTTTCCACGGCCCGGTTGATACGGCTAACAATGGCCTAAAGTATTTTAGTAGCCGAACAATAGCCGATAAGGAATCGGCATGTAAATGGACTGAGATGTGCGTCAGTTCTGTAACTATTCCACTCAATGTCGTTCGGGTGTAAGGGATCTGAAGCGCCACAATAGCTCCGAATGCTAACGATGCGTATTGTAATTATAATTGACTAGAGATCTCTTGGCAACTACGTTTGCGTACATGTTTTAATTATACTGGAAGTAGATTGATGATAGAATAACCGCACGCGGTAGTTATGTAACAAAGTTAACAAGTACATTCATGGATCAAAACAAACTATGGCATATTAGTAAAGTTTTCCAATTACATATACATTAACGAGATTTTCTGTATAACTGTGAAATATTAATATGCAATAATATCCTGGTTTTCACATGGACGCAATTCTGCAGAACAGATGCACTGTCATTATCAGGGTCTCCAGGGCTTTGCAATAATTTATTTTCAGACTTACCTACTCTTACGTCACGTGCTCGAGGGAGCGGCGCAGCTTGGCATAGTTAGACACTTGGCACTTACCGCCCGTCTCTTGGCAGTGGAAGTTGGGGTCGAGCCCCTTGGCGCAGGCCTTGGTGAATTTGTCGACTTGCGCGTGCGTCAAGTGCTCGAGGGAGCGTCGCACTTGGCACTTACCGCCCGTCGCTTGGCAGTGGAAGTTGGGGTCGAGCCCCTTGGCGCAGGCCTTGGTGATCTTGTCGACCTGCGCGTGCGTCACGTGCTCGAGGGAGCGGCGCACTTGGCACTTACCGCCCGTCTCTTGGCACTTACCGCCCGTCTCTTGGCACTTACCGCCCGTCTCTTGGCAGTGAAAGTTGGGGTCGAGCCCCTTGGCGCAGGCCTTGGTGATCTTGTCGACCTGCGCGTGCGTCACGTGCTCGAGGAAGCGCCGTAGGTTAGCGCGTGAGTGCAGCGCCTTCAGCGTCTTCTCATCAAGCTTCAGCATCTTGTAGACTCGCCGCTTGTATTTCAGCTGGAAGCAGTTAAGTTGAATATATTAGTAAATGTTCATTTGGGTCAATACAAATTGTTAAAAACACACATATACACATAAAAGTCGACGAATGTCTCCATCTCATTGGTATAGTAAACTTAAATTAAAAGTCTAGAAAATCATCAGGTCATTTAGTTTCCGCTGCAGAAGTCTAGTTTACTTAAGGATAAATGGAGGAGTTGGTTTACACTCCCCGCGCTTTTACTCTGCTGAAAAACTTTGACAACTACTTTACACCTGACTAATAAAGTATGTAATAATTTTACTAAGTGTGATTTAAGCGCATATCATGCCGCTGATTCCCGTATTTACTTAAAAAATAATGCAACTGGAAAGTTTATGTGACACAAAAGTTAAGTATAAAGTGATTAAAACATACCTCAAGGTAGCCAACGGGTCCGTTGAAGGGGTAGTCGCCAAGCCGGCGTTCTTCGTCCAAGAACTTGCCGGCCTTGCCATTAACCGGAGGGCAGAAGAGACCATAGTTGAAGCTTTCCTTCAACTCCTGGGAACAAAAGATAAAAATCATAAGTCAGTACCAGCGAATGCTCACACATCTTGAAATCTGAAGTCTTATTAACGAGAAATAATAAGGCAGTTTCAAATTAACATCATGAACACAAATCAGAGCGTAAGACAGAATAAGTTTATGAAATAACGAATGTAGGTCCATTTGAGTTATGGGTGCCTATTGTACAAACCACTCTCACTATCTCACACTATAAATGCATTTTGCGAAATTCAAATCACCATGCGCTGTGAAGTTGATTAATTACGACAGCCCCCATAACTTTAAGACATATTCGCACGAACTTTTATAGAAGCAGTAAATTTCTCGCTATAAATAATAGTGTAATTGGTCCTGAAGGGTTATCTATCACTTAATTACTGTGTTAGCAAGTTAACATATTACTTAAGTGCGCACTTAAGCTCATAAATCTTGTGGGCAATAAGCAATTAAAAGTACAGTCGTGTTCGAGAGCAAATATAAAAAGTGCACGGGATATAATGCTGCAGTTCATTATCACCGCGCTAGTGTTCCAACTTCATTGAACGTCGGTCTTTCTGGATATTTACGACGTACTGATTTACAATAGTCTATTAAAAAGCGCCAAATGTTGACGACCTCTTCGCGATTTTTAAGACCGCAAAGGGTTTTATCTTCCTTTGTGCACAATCTTTTTAATCTTTTACGGAGTCAGCTAGCATTAAGTGCTCGTGGGCATTCGAATTGGTTTTAAAGGTGCCTTTTATGGAACTCGTCCTACGTGTTTCTTGACGTCACTGTTTTTGAAATCAAACGAGTATTAGATTTATCTCAATCCTTCTGGTGCAGTAGTAAACTACTTTTTTTACACACAATTACAAATGTCTTCTTGCAACGACACCTTATAATAATTACAGTATCTGGTGATACGAGCCCTATTGTTATAAAAATATCCATTAGTGTTTCACAGCGAAGGGTTTTGTTTATATTTATCCTTATTGTGTCTATTGAAACGTAGAGCACAATGACATGTCAACGTACTATAATGGAATGGTCGGAGGACGCGGAGCCGGGTTTGCAAATAAAACGATGCAACATGGCGCCTACGCCGTCCGATGTCCGATACCGTACATCGCAGCCTGTGCATGATCTAATAAATAGCTTGGCAGATAAAATTAAATCTTGCAAATGGATTTGCAAAATTTACCTTAACATGAAATACATTTCTTTTAAATTTTAAATCAGGACATTTTTAAAAGTAGACTCAGTAGGTATTGATCCTCAAAAAACAAATTTCAATTCAATTTGAGATTAGTGGAATTCAGTTAGCAGTCAACAAAACCCAGGAAGTTAACACATGTCCTTTAGAATCGAAAAAAATACTTTACATTTATGAGTGCCAATCCTAAAATAAATAGGAAATGTCAGACAACAGTAAAAATATCGACGAGTATATTTGGCATTGAGAACTGCTGTCGAGCATCGACTGCACTTCTCAATGCCAAATCGCATCGTTGCAACTTATCGATAGCATGTTGATCTTTGATCAAGATCGATTTGGAGACGCGATACGATTGATGGAGCGGCGCAAGACACGCGGGGTCAGTCTCGAGCGACGGCCGCACAAATGACTCGAGTTATTTACGACTTCCTCGGCTTGATGCTCAACTTAATAACGAGTATGTCTGTATACCAGTTGTAGAGATTTAGACAAATTGATGAACCATTTAAGGTAAAGTTTCAAGAAAATCCGAAATTATAGCAAGAAGTTTAGGCTTGTGAAGGATTCAATTGGAGTAAAGAAAGAAAATATAGAGCACTGAGAGGATTAAACTGTAGACTATAACATAAGAGAACAATCCCGGAAGAGAACGCCATGCATTTTTCATCGCTGTGCGGATTCCAGAAACATACCCAAGCAACTGTTCTTGTTTTCGAAACCAGTCCCATCATTCTCTATGTGCTCGTACGATGGGATTACAATGGCCGTTGATCATGCTTGTAGCCACCGTTTCCGCCACTCGTGCGCCGCATACCGCAGTATCTCAAACCACCGTCATATTAGAGGTTGTAGCATCGGCGAAGCGCGATTTCACGAAGACTGTGATAGGTACCGCGACTCTCTGGGCGATTGGTCCTTAGATCAATAACACTAGAAATTCTAGATAAAACAATCTAGAATTTCTAGGTCAAAAGACAGGACGTCTCTCATTTTGGAAAACATTTTAGAAGCAGAAAATTCGATTCTTTGTGGGCATTCGGGAAATATTATTAAGAGTTGCTAATCTAAATGTCTATTCATCGGCTTATGGCACGAGTTGTATTACTATGTCTTCTATAGTTCTGATCCATTTCAAATCGCCGATCGCTTATATAACTGTCCCATCGAGTGTGACCACGCTTTGCGTCGACCGACATAACTCATGGCGTTCTATGATGGACGGTGTTGGGGACCTGTGCCGTTAAGACGCAGCCATTGTAGGCGCTAGCCGGTAATTGAATTTAGAGTTGTGGACATAAAGGTGTTAAACAACGGTTCATATGTTAGTCTCAGAAGGGAGAAATGTAAGTAACATTCGTAACAGGACATACTTAGGTATCCCATGAAACTGTAGGCACAAGTAGGAATGAATAGAAAATTCTTGAATAAGCTCTCAATTAAAGAGACTTTCAGTTCTTTATTATTACACATGAATATTTACACAGTTAGCTATTTATCATCTATGTATGGTATTTACCTTGAGATTGAGAGTACTTTACACTAAAAGCCACAACGAATCGCAATACGCTGCTAAAGTATCGCCACAGATGTGATATATTCTTTGCCGTACAGAACCAATATTTCTGGAGCTAGGATCGCACGAGGGCGGCGGGAACGGTGTAATATCGCCGGGAATATGGGAATATTACAGCCAGCTTATTCAGGACTCGGATTAAATGCCACGTCCCCGGGGGACCGTCATATCGGAAGTTTTAAATCTTATCTCACGCTCAGATTGGAGACTCGAACACTTTTCTCGTGAATATTTTACCGGTTTTGGTTACGATTTTCGACTGTAGGTGAGCAAAGGCATCGTGTTTGGTTGAGGATATGACTGTGCTGAAAATGTTTATTGTTAAATGCATTTGTTATTGTTGGGAAGTTGTCGATGTTTGCAGCTGTTTGTTTTCAATTAACTAGGATTGTAAATAACTTTAAGACGTTTTAAATTTGCTTCGTTCGTTCGTTTCAGCGGAATGAGGTCCACTGCTGGACAAAGGCCTCCTCCAAGGTTTTCCACAATGAACGGTCCTGCGCTGCCCGCATCCAGGCTCTTCCCGCGACCTTCATCAGATCGTCGGTCCACCCAGTAGGAGGCCTGCCCACGCTACGTCTTCCAGCCCGTGGTCGCCACTCGAGAACTTTTCTGCCCCAACGGCCATCGTCTCTACGAGCTATGTGCCCCGCCCACTGCCACTGGATTTTAGCAATTCTGCGGGCTACGAGTATGTCGGTCACTTTGGTTCTCCTGCGGATCTCCTCATTTCTGATTCGATCACGCAATCACGCAGGTATATGTATTAATACTTATCAGCCACGTTGATAGCCGTTAGGATATTGTTATTTTGTATGCGACTCTATTAATTATACTTTTTAGTGACTTATTTAGTGAAAATAAATATTGGTCTGGAACGCGAGATTTTAATTTCCCAAGTTGGCGGGACTGGAAATCAATTAACATCAAATCTTCGAGAAGTTTTTCCATTATATTCTAGTACAGCAAAATCTACGACCAACTTTTCACATTACATCATCGAGGTCGGGGCATGCTAATGCGTAGGGCGGGAAACATTCGACAAATGTACAAACGACATAAGACTACAATTTTGTGGCAAAATCACCCCTATTGTAACTACATAAGACCACAGTGTTTAGCTTGACGTGCCAGCTGTACATGGTTGGACTGCCCATTAGCTCAAACACCCGAAGTTACAAGTGTTGCGGATCAAAGTGAAACATGCTCACGCATGAACGAAGGACCTTTTTCGTAGAAGGACTTCATTACTCTGAACGTTCATGGACCTTTTTTGCTTTACAGATCATGAAAAGAGAATTGAGTTAATTATATTTCATTTTCCATTAAAGCTTTTCATCCACAAGGTCTAATTCATGAGTGGTACTACACCTACCTACCTACAAGCAATTCAAAGTTGTTGTAATTTTTTGTAGTGTAGCATACGTTTATGATGATACATTAATAATATATCTAAGGTAGGTAATTACCTATTATTGTAAGTACTTTAGAAAATAATAAAAAACGCTATAAATATGATAAGGGGGCTTATCTATGAGTCATGATAATCCGTTTTCAATCTCAGACCATTGAAACTTAGACCTGAGAAATGATCTGGACGCTCGTTCTAATAGTGCTCCGTGATATATGAAACGCCAGAAAAGATTGTATGAAACGTCGTGATAAATTGAGTCGCCACTTCAGAGTTCAGGCGGCCATCCATTTGTATGGATCAAACCGTTTCTATAAACTATTAAACTGTTTGTGTGCTGATTGAACCTTTAATTAAACCTTCATGTTTAATGGCTTTCTAGATAAATTAATTGTGGATTGTAAGTTATTATTTTGGTCTAATCGATCAAACGTAAGCCAAAGGAAATAAATAAATATCAAAATTAAACTTTTTGTAAAATATCTAGTTGCTAACATTAACTTAAATATTTATTTCAAGTAACCAAATATAAAGTATTCATTGTGAAAATTGTGCCCAAAAGTTCGTTAATTTGAATATAACTGTAAATTAATATTGAAATAAGGTTCAATAATTTGTTAATAAAGCCATCAGTTACTAAATTAACTATTAGATGAGTTAACTGGATCAAATATGACCTCGAGTAAATAGTTTCATCCAATCGTCAGCTAATTGATTTCCTTAGTTAAATATAACTGAAGGTTATTAATTATTAGCTTACCAATTAGAATTAACCCCCAGTCTGTTTGATTGTGGTAGGCTGACTCTGATTG